GAAGATAGATGTTCATTTGCTCATGTTAGCATCAACACAAAAAGCAAAATCTATTATAAGGAGATTTACAATCGTATACCTTGTTTCATTTTATTTCCTTTAAATTTATGTACTTTTAGTGTTTCATTAAGTTGTGATTTGCTCAATTTTATACAAGTATCTTGGTTTTGATAATTCGAAACCCTATCAGATAACTTGCGTTGCAATGGAATAGAAATCATGCTCCAATTATTTTTCCAACTGAACCAGGAAACCCAAGATTGCATGGAAAATATGTATCAAATATTTTTGTTTCAAGAATGACTACTGATTTTGGATTATTAGCTAAAATAAAGGCTTGTGAGATGATATGGAGAATGATGAACCTTCGAAAGGGGTCTAGTTTTATAAAGCACAAAGCTATCCCACTAGAAATTTCTTTCTTCACTAGGAGATTATTTAAGTCACTGCCTATAGATAAAGTAATGCAAATGAAATTTAAAACACAATTGGCATCTACATCCAAGTGTTGTAACCAATTGCAGACCATTCATTATGTTTTTACACTAAAGAAATATGAGTTTTGTTAACCCAGGTATTGGTCACTAAAAGTCCAATATCAGCTGGTAAAGTTACTTCCTGACTAGAAAATGTTGGTCAGGAGTTGGTCGTTAAAAGCTAGCCAATGAAGGTTTTCATCGACCGAACTGCAATTTCGGTCGGAGAACTTAGAGATTTTAAATGACCAACAACTTTTTGGTTAGAAATGATAAAGCTTTTTTTGATCATGCTATTGTCAGTAAAGGTTTAAATAAGTCGACAATAAACAAGTCGTGAGTTGTGGTAGTAAACATAGGCCGACAATAACAGTTGGTCTAGGATGATATACATTTACCAACAAAGAAATCAAGTGAGATTGGTAGAGAAAAGAACGAATTTCCCAACCAAGGAAATTCAAGGCAATAAATTTGAATTGCATTTCACAACTATGGTTTCAGTCGGTAAATGTGATTTATTGAATTTTTCTGAACATGTGCAGTAATCAAAATTCCAAAATAGATTGAAAGTCCAACTAAAAAACAATGTACTAACAAGAATTCAAAATCAAGAAATATATGAAATCGCAAAACAACGACTACAATCAAAAGCCTCCAGCAAATTACATGAAAGGAAAATTAATATATCGTATCTTTACAAATCAATTCCAATTTCAAAATGTGAGCAACTACGTATACCAATGTAGTCCAAAGCCGTAGCATGGGCAATAAAAAGCCTAATCAAATTCCAAAATGTGAGAAGACTGTTTTAGTCCAAAACAATAGCATATGTAATAATGGAGTATCAATTATCAAAATATAAGGAAAAGTCATTTTGAATTATTAGAGGGCTAATCTAGAATTGCAGTTCTTCTGACAAAGAATTCCCACGTAATCTTTTCGGAAAATAGGAAATTATAGTGTTTTAGACCTAATAACAATAAATAAATGAATCAACAAAATGAGTTAAATACTAACGTTACCTCCACTTTTCATGAATAGGACATTTTTAAGATTATGTCGCGTCTTTCGAAAATATCTTTTGTCGAGGTACAAATATTCCCACGCTAGATCCTATTTTGTAAATGAAACGACTAGCATTAGAACCATTTGATCGTTCATCAATGTCTTTATACATGATTTTTAGTTTCTCTTAGTGACCTTGACTATTTGGGATGTGCCTAAGTCATGAGCACAACTGTATCGCCTACACTCGAATGGTGTTACTATAGGTGTTACAATAATGTGATGTCAATAACTGAAAAAAAGAATTAAAAACATAATAATAATAATCATAAAACTACCTGTCTCTGTTGGCACAATGGCTATTGTAGGAGTGGCGGCATGTGCAAGGTACGTTATAGGTGTAGGCTGCATGCTAGGTTGAGTGATTGCCTGTTTGATAGAACCATTCATAGATATTGGGGGCTGTGGCTTCTTCTTTGTGGCATTGGAATAACCTACAAGCTATGCAAAATAATATTAAAGATAGAAAATATCATAATGTATATACAAAAGTTTTATAATAATTACAAAACAAAATTATCATTTACTATATATAACAGGGACATCAATTACTATCACCGTCGAAAATGAATTCTAACTCCGTATCAGGTTTTTCGAAATCATTCTCATCATTCATGTCATCACTTCAAATCATCTTCTTCATTGAAAAGTCGTAGATGTGTAGATGAGCTGTCTTGTAGAACAATATTAGAATTTTCAATTTCATCATCATTATTACACTAATTGCGACTCTCGACTGCATCCCTTATATGACGATGTGAGGCCTTTTGTACAACTTTTCAATTGGCTCCATTTTTCAAGTCATCTATATAGAACACTTAAATAGCCTGTGTTGACAAATGGATGGATCATCCTTGTACCAAGTTCGAACAATATTGATAGAAATTTTGGTTCTTCTATAATCCTTTTCATTTTTATCACAACCAAACAAATCACACTTACAGAAAAATATGCTCTGTTATGAAAATAATGTAGTTGAATGACATCAATTAATACACCATAATAATAATTGTCATCTTTGAGCACAAGGATACCACTATTTTAAGTTACTCGATATGCATATTGTATAAAATCGAAGGCCAGCAATGGTACTATCACTATAAAATGTAATTCGGGGATCTAATCAACATGCAAGGGCATATAGCTCGTCGTGACACTCAGATCACCCAATGCATGTCTCCTACATATCCGTGCATTTGAAATGACTCAAAAGTTTCGTATATTTAAAATATTGGAATAGTTCAATTTTCTAAATAACATATTACCGCATGTTTGAACCACTTTGGGAACTCACATTCTTGTAGTTCACTTTGGTTGATTTCATGAGGAAATGTAGACAAATGTTCAATGTTATCGTTGAAAAAAATATTTTAAATCAATATTTGGATAGATGTAATTTGGGGGTAAGTGAGAAGGAAATTGTGGCAACACACCTTAAGTATGGTTGGAATTCTTGACAATTATAAGCATATACCAATTTGGCTTTCCATAATAATTCATCAGGTAATGTGTCAATATACCAACCACCAATTGGTCGTACGTGTTGGGAAAACACATACAACTATTTA